AGCACTAGCACGGATGGGGCACGCACTTACAAGGGGCAGCTGGGCAATCGGGTGCTTTGGGATCTGCACGAGAGCAAGGACGTGTACAGATCCATGTGGCAGCTGCCGGTGTTGGCGTGGCATGGTGGGAGGCAGGCTAGAGAGGGGTCTGCATCCCAGGGGGAGTGCAACGCCGTTGGAGGGGTTGGTGTGAAAGTGTCGGCCAGATCTGGGGAGACGGATTGGGCAACGGCACACCGACGCTTGGGGCATGTGGCAATGCCCTTGTTGAAGCAGTTGGAGAAAGATGGAGCCGTTAAGGGTCTGAAGCTGAACGGACAGCCACCTGATGAGAATTGTGAAATCTGTTTGCTCTCAAAGTTTACCCGTTTCCCCTTCCATAGTGTGGCTGGCAGGAGCAAGAAGCCATTGGAGCTGGTCCACATGGACTTGGTGGGGCCGCTGCCGGTTCAGAGACACAAGGGGGAGCGGTACTTTCTGACCATAGTGGATGATTGGAGCAGGCTTATGTGGGCATATCCACTGAAGCAAAAGGACCACGCCGCCTCTACGATACGGCATGATTGGCTGCCATTCGTAGAGAAGCAAGCGGAGTGTGTGGTGAAGCGGATTAGGACAGATCGGGGTGGTGAGTTCCTTGGAGCTGAGATGACGGCCTGGCTCAAGAAGCAGGGCATCCAGAGGGAGCTGACCACGGCTTACACCCCATAGTCTAACGGTGTAGCAGAACGGGCGAACCGGACAATTCTGGAGACAGCTAGGGCGCTGCTCATAGAATCTGGGCTGGGCAACTCGATGTGGCCCCATGCTGTTCAGCATGCTACCGTCGCTAGGAAGAGGGTACTCACAAAGGTTGGGGATGACTCGTGGGTGCCATTGGAGCGGTGGCTTGGGAGGAAGCCGCCAGTGGACATGCTGAGGGTGTTCGGTTGCATGGCAGTCGCCCACGTCCCCAAGATCTACCGCAGTAAGTTGGGGGCAAGTGCAATCTGGTGTGTGCATTTGGGGCTGGCTGCTGAGAGCAAGGGATGGCTGCTGTGGGAACCATCCAAGGGTGTGTTGTTTGACAGCAGGGATGTGAAGTTTGTTGAGGGCATGATGTATGGGAGCTGGGAGAAACAGCCGGAGGCCAGGGTGTCCCAGCTAATGGAGCAGATCACCATGCAGCTGGACCTGACTCGTAGTGTGTGGGAGGAGGGAGAGCAGGTAGCTGCAGAGGGTGGTGATGGAGAGAAGGTACAGGAGGCATCTGCTGGTGGAGAAAATGATGTGGAGACTAGCACTAGTGGAGCTGCTGGATCCGAGGGAGGAGAGCAGCAGCAGGGGAAAACTAAGAAGCCGAAGGGTGTTGTTATGAAGGGATGGCAGACACCCGTCTCCAGGCCAGGACGTACACGTATGGCTACTAAGAAATTGACTGCAGGAGCTGATGTAGCAGAACAGCAGCTTGGGACAGAGGAGGCATTGCTGATTCTACCTCATGGCTATGACCCGGATGAGGAGGATGAACCTGTCTACTGTTTTCTTGCCCCTGCACCAGAGGAACCAGCTAGCATGGAGGAGGCATTAGCTGGACCAGATAGGGAGAAGTGGCTGGTTTCTAGGGATGCTGAGTACCAGAGCCTACTAGAGAATGGGACATGGGATCTGGTGGTGCTGCCCGATGGAAAGAAAGCTGTACAGTGCAAGTGGGTGCTAAGGATCAAGACCGATGACAAGGGACGGGTCACCATCTACAAGAGTAGGCTGGTGGCTAAGGGGTTTATGCAGGAGAAGCGGGACTTCAATGAGATTTTTGCTCCCACTGCCAAACCCCCTACCCTTCGTGTCTTGTTGGCAGATGCAACCGTTAGTGGGAAATTCATCATTCAGATGGATATATCAACGGCATTCCTCAATGGGATTTTAGAGGAGGATGTGTACATGACGCAGCCGCCTGGGTATGAAGATGGTACGGGCAGGTTGTGCAAGCTGAAGAAGTCCATCTACGGCTTGAAGCAGGCGCCACGCTGCTGGTACCAGAAGTTGGCAGCTGTTTTAGAGGAGATGGGATTCAGGACCAGCAGCTGTGATGAGAGCCTCTTTCTCAAGGGGGAGGGGGAGAAGCTGGTGCTGTTTCTGGTCTATGTGGACGATATTTTTCTCTTTAGCAGCAGCATGAAGGAGATCCAGAAGGTGCAGCAGCAGCTGATGGAGAACTTCAAGTGCAAGAACCTTGGGGAGGTAAAGTACTTTCTCGGGATGCATGTGGAGAGGGATCTGGATCACAGGTGGTTGAAGCTGCACCAGGAGAAGTTCATCAAAAAGCTGGGGGAGAAGTATGGGATTGAGAATGAGCGCAAGGTTGCAACTCCCCTGCCAGCAGAATTCAAGCTTGTGAAAGCTGCAGAGGATGAAGGGGTTGAAGCCGAGGAGCAGCAGCAATTTCAGTCCTTGGTGGGCAGCCTCTTGTATGCAGCAGTTCACACAAGGCCCGGCATCTCTTTCTCGGTTGGGCAGCTGGCTATGGTGGTGCAGAATCCATCAGAGGAGCAGGTGGATGCAGCTGAGCGTGTGGTGAAGTATCTGAACTCTCACCCAAGCATTGGAGTTCAATACTCCGCATCTGCACAGGTAAAGCAGAAAGGGGTTGAGGTGCTGAAAGAGAAGGGGGAGCGGCTTGGAGAAGGCAAGCTGTTTCTCACTTGCTTTACTGATGCTACGTGGGCCTCTGAGAAGGAGGATTCCTCATCTGTGGGAGGATACATCTGTGTAGTTGGGGGAGGACCTGTTAGTTGGAGGTCAAAGAAGCAGACGGAGACGGCACTCTCTTCTGTGGAATCAGAGTACATGGAGATGTTCCATGGGGTGAAGGAAGTGATTTGGCTGAGGAGGCTGTTAGAGGAGATTGGCCAGGAGCAGAAGGTTGCTACGCCGCTGTTTTGTGACAGCAAGGGGGCTCTTGGGATGGCCAGGAACGCTGTGCTTCATGGGCTGAACAAGCACATGCGTATCAAGTGGCACTGGCTGCGTAAGGAGGTGAAGAGGGGGACGGTGAATCCGATCTACATCAAGACTCACCAGCAGCCAGCAGACTTCCTCACCAAGAGGCTTGCGGATGAGCCACATTGGCGTTGTGTGCGCATGCGTGGAATGAGCATGAACTAGCATGGAATGATGGGGATGCAGCCGGCAGGCTGAGGGGGAGTGTGTTGGGTGCAAATTCACATTGCACGACATCCTGCCGTCTGTTTGTATGAGTATGCGTGTGCGAATGCATTTGGGTGTGAATGGAATGTTCGTGTGTTTGTTTGCTTTCGCAATTTTCGCTTGAAGCATTTGCAGGTACTCGCGCATTATGCGCTTCGGCACAACATTGTACGCGCTATGAACAGTACAAGCAGAAAGGACGAGCTCGCAAAGGAACCCAAGATGGAAGCTTTGCGGTTCGGTTGAATTGATTGAGCAGATTCAGTTTTATCCAACTCGAAATTGTACTGTTTTGTTTGGTTGACTATAGTGTAGCAGGGCAGGCACTATAGGGGTACAATTTAGGTGAAGGTTGGATGTTGTTTGTCTGTATCTGCCTGCTACAGGGCCAGGGGAAACCAGCGGAACCAGCATTTGGCTGGTTGGGCAAAGACAAAACAGGTTCTGTTTTTAGGACCTGAACCTGGTTGTTGTTTTCCCAGGTTGGAAAAACAGAACCAGAGGTTGTTTACCAACCTACCACCTGCTGTTTTGTCCAGCCAGGTTGGTTCTGTTGCTTGGAATTATTTGGGATCATCCCTAGTTGTTCCCAGGTTTATTCCCAAGGTCCTTGCTAGCTAGAACTATATAGTCCTTCTCTGTTTGTACCTGAATATAGTCAATTTGATTCAAGCGAATTCCTCCCCTCCTGGAATTTCGTTTCTACGCGGTGCGACGGCGGAATGCTACCCGAGTCAACGCTAGTACGCTAGCACTCCAACACTAGGCAAATGCTGTCCGAGCCATAACTTCGTAATGGCAGAACTTTTCGCGAGGCAACTTGGTTCATTTTAAAGCTCTTGGAGCGAGCTTCGATATAGGAAATTCTCAGCTTAATCTGATCGACGGTCTGCACGATACGCTGCGCGACGTTCAAGGTACTCTTGCTGTTTTGACTAAGTCCCACTTGATCCCTCTCTCTACAAACTCGGACCCGAGGATAGGGGCTGGTCTTGTACCAGGCACCCAAGGATCCTTGGAGGTGACCCCGAGGAGAGGTTTTAAGTTTGATAAAGTCTTAATAGCTTGAGTTTATTAGGCCCTTACACCAACATGAAGGCCGCTGAGGAGCATCGACGGTGAAATCGCGGACCCACTGTGGTACCTCGCTAGTGCTAGCAGGGTGCTTCTCTCGCAGCGATTGCACCATGGCCTCAGACGGTCGAGCCAACTCTATTGCCGTAAGGCACGCCAATCCACGGCCCCACTCCCCCACTTTGCACCAAGATCGGCACCGTGACAGGCGGATGGCATCCGGGTCCTGGTCAGAGCAAGTGTAGGCAAGTGGGCGAACTGCTGGCCGCACCGCCACCATGGCAGAGTCGAACAGCTCCCGCCACCTCCCCTTTCAGAACGCACCCAACCGCTCTGTGATCAGCGCCTTTTGACCTATGCCTGGCTTGGGAGGCACGGCTAGGATGAGGCGCGGAAGCGCCAAGAGTAGGAGGGTAGCGGATTTATCTCCCGGTCGGCTCTTCAAACGCTTTAAGATGCAACAGAGCACATCTAAGACCCCCGACCGGGCCCGCTGTGGGATCCGGCGCAATGTCCTCCCTCCAACCGCCTCCACACTGGAAAAATGTTTCCCATTCCCATGACGTAACCCCGGCCCACGCCTCGTTCCCAAATTCCCGCGGCGTCGGTCACTCCTGCATGTCGGTCTCCACCAAACACGGGATCAAGCCGAGAGCCTACGCACGCCTCTCCACCTCAGCCGCCCGGCATACCCTCATGTGGTTCGCAACAGCCCCTCACGTAGCGAAAGCGTGTAATCACGTGTCGCACGGAAAACGGGGGCATGGGGAAGGCGGCCTAGGAGCTTCTTCGTCCGCCTCTGACTCCTCCGCAATCGCCATGGGGGTATCAAACGCCAAAAGTCGGCTCCACTCCTCCAACTGCTGCTCCTGGTCGTCCATCGATTGCCCCCCTGCCTGCTGCTCTCCCTGGGGTGCTCCGGTCACCCCCGACTGCCCCCCTGACTGCTGCTCTCTCTGGGGTGCTTGGGTCACCCCCGGCTGCCCCCTTGGCTGCTGCTCACCCTGGGGTGCTCCGGTCACCCCCGGCTGCCCCCTGGCTGCTCCACTCCCTGAGGTGCTCCGGTCACCCCCGTCTGCCCCCCTGCCTGCTGCTCTCCCTGGGGTGTGCCGGGCACCCTCGGCTGCCCCCGTGTCTGCTGCGCTCCCTGGGGTGCCCCGGTCACCCCCGGCTTCCCCCTTGCTTGCTGCTCTCCCTGGGATGCTCCGGTCACCCCCGGCTGCCCCCCTGGCTGCTGCTCTCCCTGGGGTGCTCCGGGCACCCTCGGCTGCCCCCCTGCCTGCTGCACTCCCTGCGGTGCTCCGGGCACCCTCGGCTGCCCTCCTGCCTGCTGCTCTCCCTGGGGTGCTCCGGGCACCCTCGGCTGCCCCCCTGCCCGCTCAGCTCCCTGGAGTGTCTCAATCGCCCCCGGCTGCCCCTCCGCCTGCTGTGCGGCAGCACCGCTTCCAGTCCGCCCTTGCGACTTACGGGCGTGTCGTCTCCCACCTGGACCCCGTGCCTGGGTTCTCTTCGCTTGGCTTGTAGCGTCCGGACTAGCGACCTCCAGCTGCCCCCGCGCCGGCAGCTCCGGCCACTCCCCCCCCCCCCCCCCCCCCCCCCCGGCAGCTCCTGCTGCCCTCCACCGACAGCTCCTGCTGCCCTCCCGCCGACAGCTCCTGCTGCCCTCCTGTGACAGCTCCTGCCGCTCTTCTCCCAGCATCTCCTGCTGCCCTCCTGCCTGCAGCCGGGCCTGATTCTCCGATTGGTCCCGCTGCACCTCTGGCTGTAGCTCGGCCATCCCCATGTCCACCGCTTGCTGCTCCCTTGCCGGCAGCTGCCCCTCCCCCGGCGGCTCCTGCTGCTCTTCCCTTGGCAGCTCTTGCTGCTCTCCCCCGGGCTGCTCCTGCTGCCCTCCTGCCTGTGGCCGGGCCCGGTTCCCCGATTGGTCCTGCTGCACCTATGGCTGTAGCTCGGCCATCTCCACTTCTACCGCTTGCTGCTTCCTTGCTTGCTGCTCCCTTGCCAGCAGCCCCTGCTGCCCTTCCCTTGGCAGCTCTTGCTGCTCACCCCCGGGCGGCTCCTGCTGCCCTTCTGCCTGTGGCCGGGCCCGATTCCCCGATTGGTCCCGCTGCACCTCTGGCTGTAGCTCGACCATCTCCACTTCTACCACTTGCTGCCCTCCCGCCGGCAGCTCCTGCTGCCCTCCCGCCGGCAGCTCCTGCTGCCCTCCCGTCGGCAGCTCCTGCTGCCCTCCCGCCGGCAGCTCCTGCTGCCCTCCCGCCGGCAGCTCCTGCTGCCCTCTCGCCGGCACCTCCTGCTGCCCTCTCGCCGGCAGCTCCTGCTGCCCTCCCGTCGGCAGCTCCCGCTGCCCTCCTGCCCGCAGCTCCTGCTACCCTCCCACCACCAGCTCTTGCTCCCCTCCCGCCGGCCGCTCCTGCTGCTCTCCCGTCGGCAGTACCTGCTGCTCGCCTGCCGGCCGCACCTGCCGCCCTCTTGCCTGCGGCTCTTGCTGCCCTCTCGCCGGCAGCTCATGCTCCCCTCTCGCCGGCAGCTCCTGCTGCCCTCCCGCCGGCAGTACCTGCTGCTCTCCTGCCGGTCGCACCTGCTGCCCTCTTGCCTGCGGTTCTTGCTGCCCTCTCGCCAGCATCTCCTGCTGCCCTCCCACCGGCAGCACCTGCTGCCCTCCCGCCAGCAGTTCCTGCTGCCCCCTTGCTTGTGACTTCCGGACCTCCCCCAACAGCCAGTTCTGCTGCCCCCCCTCCTGCCACGAGGACTGGGTGCCCGCTGGACTCCACTGCTGCACTTCCGGCCGAGCTCTCCGTCTCTGTTCCTGCCTTTGGGCCGGGCGAGGCCTGCGCAGGGCTGGGAAGGTTGGGCGTGCCAAGGGATTATCCAGGGCCGTCTGCTGCCTATCGTGAGACTCCTGCAGTCGCCGGCAGTGTGCCTCCCATGCCGCCATCGCCGTGTCTTCACCGATGCTTTGCCTATGCACCCCATGACTGCACGCGCCCTCTTCCCTCGTGTCCAGGTCCCGGTTGGAGATAATGTCGCTGCCACATACAAAGCCGCCGGGAGTGTCTTTGGGTGGTTCCTCCATCCCCCCCTCTGTTGAGAGGGGTCCAAGCCTTTATCGCTTGCTGGGTCTACCGAAATGGGAGAGTTCATCCTCACAATGGAGGCGACAGAATTGTGGGTATTGCATACACAGCGCTGCCTCTCTGGGTCTCTTGTGACCAATCCTCGCGCGGATCTTCCTCCCCCGGTCTGGGGGGTCTGGGTCGTTGTTCATGGCGTAAGTTGAGCTGGAGGGGCGCCTCCCACCTTCAATGTAAGGTTCGCGGTCCGGGTGAGTCGAAGATGGTGAACGTCGCTGGCGCACGAAGACTCCCCTGTACGCGGGACGCTCCTACCTGCAGATGTTGTTACCTAGGCACAAATCTCGCTTTTTGGTCCTCCCTACATGCGGTCGTCGCTGCCTAGGCGCGGGCCTCGCTGTGAGAGCGCTCCCACGCGCGAATATAGCTGCCTGGGCGCGGCTCCCTCCGTCGCGGTGCGGATTTAGTTGCTTCAGCACGGATTTCACTGTTACAATGTGGGCTTTGCTGCTACGGCACGGATTTCGCTGCTACGGCGCGGATTTCGCTGCTTCAGCGCGGGTTTCGCTGCTACGGCATGGATTTCGTTGCCGCGAAGCGGATTTTGCTGCTACGGCATAGATGTCGCTGCTACAGCACGGATTTTGCTGCTTAGGCGCGGATGTCACTGCTACGGCGCGGATTTCGCTGCCACTGCGTGGATTTCGCTGCTACGACGCAAAGGTCGCTGCTGCGGTGCGGGTTTCGCTGTTACGGCGCGGATTCCACTGCCTAGCCGCACGCGGCCATCTGAAGTTCGTGGGCTAAGCAGCTAAATCGCCGGTTGGTCACCAAAATCACGGCTTTGCAGCTAGATCGCGGGCGGAGCGGCTAAATCGCGGGCGGAGCGGCTAAAATGCGGGCTGGGCAGCTAGATCGCGGGCTGGGCGGCTGAATCGCGGGTTAGGGGGCTGAGTCATGGGCTACGTGGCGGGATCGCGCTGCTACTAGAAAAAATCACGTTGCTGCCTAGCGGGAATCATGCTGCTGCCTAACGGGAATCACGCTGCTGCCTAGCGGGAATCACGCTGCTGCCTAGCGGAAATCACGCTGCTGCCTAGCGGGAATCACGCTGCTGCCTAGCGGGAATCACGTTGCTGCCTAGCGGGAATCACGCTGCTGCCTAGCGGGAATCACGCTGCTGCCTAGCGGGAATCACGCTGCTGCTAGCAGTGCTATGCGCTCTAGTACTTCGCCAACGTGAGAGGCCTGTTATTGAGTATAATGCAGAGAGGGGAAATTCCCCTCCTTGTGGTAATTGTGAGATAATTGTGATAGAGTTTAGTTTCTATGGCAGCATATCCCCTAGTGCACCGAAATTCATAACTCCAGTTATACACCACCTTTTGATACGATCAAATTGGGGCTACAACATAGTCGGGTTATAGATAATTCCAACAGTGCGTTTTTCGTCGACGGCGTTTCTTGTGACGACGTTTCTGTCCAGAATTGTAGTTGACAATTTTGACATATTTCGGCCCCTAATCGTTACGGACTCTGTCCTTAATCTCTAACACAGTGACGGGTCGGGAGACGACGGAAAGAAGTCAAGCACTGCAAGGGGTTGAGCGAAGTGTGTTGCGCCACTCATGTGGAGCCTGACGCAGGCCGTAGACTGGTCGACGCAGCTGCCACTTGGTCCCAGGTGGGAAAGAGCCAGTGAAGCCAGGCGGGCGACGCAGCCAAATCTGCTCGTGCAGGCTCCCCTGAAGGAACGCACTGGAGAAGTCCAAGGAGTGCAACTCGTAGTCGCGCTGGGCTGCAATATGCAGCAACACCCGAAGAGTACTCATCTTTGGGTTGGGAGCGAAAGTCAAGAAGAAGTCCACCCCCTCTCGCTGAATGAAGCCTCTCGCCACATAGGGCGCATTGAACACTGATGGTGATCCAGGAAGTCGCTTCACCTTGTAGAGCCATCGGCCACTGACGACGTTCGTCCCAGGTGGTGGGACTGCGTCAACGTAAGTGCCTGTGGACCTATAAAATGCCATCTCTACCTCCTCAGCTGCTATCCAGTACGAGGCCCAAGGTCTCGGGATCGCCTCAGTGTGAGTGCGAGGAATCTGGATGTCAAGAGCGTCTGGATCCCCCTCAGGGGCAAGCAGCATGGCGCAGAGATGAGGAACAGCAGTCGCAGGGAAACCAAGCTCAAACTGCCTGTCCTCTAGGACCTCCAGGGAAAAGACAGGAGCACCGCTAGAGGACGGAGAACGAGCAGGGCCACTAACAAAGTGAGCGACGTAGTCAAGGCGGTGGGAAGAGGCAAAGCCAGCAACAGTGGTAGCAAAAGCTGAGACATACGACAGGGGTGCGGTCGGATGAGTGACCAACACGGAAAAAACACGGGAGACGACAGGACCGGAGGCACAGAGCTAGTCGGACAATAGGTTGTGAAGCACAGTGAGGGACGACTCAGGAGGTTGTGGAAGGACTGGAGGAGGTGGAACACAAGAGCGGAAAAGAAGGTGAAACGGGTCGTCTGCACGGTAACGAGACCGACGGGGAGAACAACGAGTCCACTGGGACGACGAAAGGGACTGGACCACGAACCAAGCCTGCAGGCGCTGGGTCGGGCAGGTCGCGCAGTCACAGTCGCTGCTGCTCCGCCTCCTCTGGCGTCTGCTGCTACGGTACCTGTCCCTGTTGCTGCTCTTGTGGCTCCTCCCCTGCCCTCTCCTGCTGCGGCTGCAGCAGCATCCGCTGTTGCGACCAGGACTCCTGCGCGACCCTCTCCTGCTGCGGCCGTGACTCCTCCTCTACTCTCTCCTCTGTGTCTGCAACTGCACCTGCTACTGCGGGCGGGACTCCTGCTCCACCCTCTCCTGCTGCAACCGGGACTCCTGCTCTACCCACTCCGGGCGGGACTCCTCCTCTACGCTCTCCTGCTGTGTCTGCAACTGCACCTCCTGCTGTGGCTCCTCCATTACTCCCTCCGCTGCTGCGACTAAGACTGCTCCTGCTCCTGCTGCGGCTGCTGCTGTTGCCGTGCCCTCTCAAACTGCTCACGCTCCTCACTCTCCAGCCGGAGGAGACGCTGCTCGCGGGTCAGGAATCGTACAGTGCGCGGTGTAGGCGCCACAGTGCCACTGCCTCAACCTCCAGCACCCCCAGAACCAGCACCTCCACCACTTACACCCCCGGGGCCTCCAGTATCTCCCGCAGGAACACCTCTAGGCTCCACAGCAACCGGCCGCAGAGAAGAACGAGGAGGAAAATGCAGGATGGACACAAAGCCAAGGAGTGACGCGGGGCGAGGCCGCCGACTCGAGGCTGCCGTGTCCTCCATGGGAGTGACCTCTGTTATTTCTGCACAACGGCATTAAAGGTTCATAGCGATCTGGCCAGATAACTTGATTCAACTTAGATCGAACGATTTCATCAAGAATTGACGACACAGCGTAGGTTTGAAGGAACCGCACTATGGTAGCAACCT